TTGTTTTTTCCTAACTGTTAGGCTAGAAGGTCAACTATGAGGATACCTCAGAAAGTTCATGGACAGTGTAATTAAAAGACAAGTTTATCTTTGGGCAAAAAATTTTGATATCTATGCATATGAGAGGCCTTTAGAAGTTCATGGACAATACATATTATAAAAAATATTATGCCTGGATTTCAAATTTTTACATCAAAATAAATGTCTTTTAATTCCATTTTTTTTTCCAAGTACTTTTTGAAGTTATTTTATATACATTAATTGGAGCCAACTGATCACTAGAGAATAACCACAGAGTAGGTCTTGTGAGCCTACTAAACACTTTGTGTACTGTGGAAATATTAATATAATAAAAATCAAGGATGGTTCCCAGGTTTGGGAACCAGAAAGACAGGGCAGGTGGTGACCATTAACCAAAATGAGCACTAGAAGAAGAGCTACTTCCACAGGGCAAGACAGAAATGTGTTTGATTTTAGATATGGCAAGTTCAATTTATTGGTCGGGGCGCCAGATTCTGTTCAGAGTGGACAGAGAGAGAAAGGCTCTCTGCTGTGGCCTGGGAGGGCAGTGGAGGATGGCCCAAGTGCTTGGGCCCTGCACCCGCATGGGAGACCAGGAGAAGCTCCTGGCTTCAGAACAGTGCAGTGCGCTGGCCGGAGCGCCAGCCGCAGCGGCCATTGGGGGGTGAACCAAAGGCAAAGGAAGACCTTTCTCTGTCTCTCTCTGTCCACTCTGCCTGTCAAAAAAATCAAAGTGCACCTGATGATTCGCTAGAAGCAGTTGAAGACACTTATGCTTGAAGGTAACACTGTAAACTTGGTAGGTTTCTTGGTGAACCTCTTTGAATCTGTGTTTTCGAAGCAGGAAAACAGGAGATTCTGGTAAAGAAACTTTGAGAGGCCACTCTCTGAGATAATTGGCTCTGAAGGTAGTTGGGTTTTTTGTTTTTAAGATTTTATTTAGTTGAAAGGCAGAGTGAAAGAGAAGGACACATGCTCACACACACACACGCACGCGCACTCATGCATACAGAGATCTTCTATCTAGTGGTTCACTTCCCAAATGGATACAACATCTAAGTCTGGGCCAGACTGAAACCAAAAGCCAGAAACTCCACCCTCCACCCAGGTCTCCCACATGGGTGGCAGTGGCCCAAGCACCTGGGCCATCATCCACTGCCTTCTCAGGCACATCAGCGGGAAGCTGGATCAGAAGTCTGCAGCCAGGGACTCAAAGCTGCATTGCAATTTAGAATGCCGGCATTGCAAGTGGCAACTGAACCTGCTGTGCCACAACACCAGCCCCAGGAACAAGGAATTTTAAAGCATACAGGATGGCCAATAGGGTTACATGCCTCTAAGAAGTAGCCACTGAAATGAACAATGCAGGCATCGGCAGCAGAATAGGAGAGGCAAAAGGTACACTGCAATAGGTTGAGCGGAACCTTAGAGTAGAACATGCTTCCCTACTGCAAAGATTTGGCCCACGAGGGAAGTAGCAATAAGTGAACATGAAGGAATTATACAGAATTCTTTTTTTTTTTTTGGACAGGCAGAGAGACAGAGAGAAAGGTCTTCCTTCTGTTGGTTCACCCCCAAAATGGTCACTACGGCCAGCACACTGCACCGATCCGGAGCCAGGTGCTTCCTCCTGGTCTCCCATACGGTGCAGGGCCCAAGCACCTGGGCCATCCTCCACTGCACTCCCAGGCCACAGCAGAGAGCTGGACTGGAAGAGGAACAACCAGGACAGAACCGGAACCCCAACTGGGACTAGAACCAAGGGTACCAGCGCCACAGGTGCAGGATTAGCCTAGGGTTTTGATTTTGTTTTTGTTTTTTTAACAGTCAGAGTTAGTGAGAGAGAGAAACAGAAAGGGAGAATTCTTTAAAGATAAAAATGGACTTGAGTTCATTCACAGGCTGAGGAAAATGAACTGGTCATAATGGGGATTTGGGGGCCGATGCTGTGGCGTAGCAGGTAAATCCACCACCTGCAGTGCTGGCATCCCATATGGGCACCAGTTTGAGTCCCGGCTGTTCTACTTCCAATCCAGCTCTCTGCTATGGCCTGGGAAAGAAGTAGGGGATGGCCCAAGTCCTTGGGTCCCTGCACCCACGTGGGAGACCAGGAAGAAGCTCCTGGCTTTGAATTGATGCAGCTCCAGCCATTGCAGCCAATTGGGGAGTGAACAAGTGTGTGAAAGTCCCCTCTCTCTGCCTCTCCTCTCTCTGTGTAACTCTTACTTCCAAAGTAATAAATAAATCATAAAAAATGATTTGTTCTAATGGGGATTTGGAGGATAAAAGGAAACAAGAGCAGACACCAGAATCCTGGCAAGTTGAGACATGAGTATAGAGCATCAGATTTTCCTAACTTAAAGCAGGCTCCCTCTGAGATTTTATGGAGATGGAGAGAAGTTGACCTGGGAGGGGCCTGCAGAAAGCCAAGAAGGGTCTTGCTGGAGTAGGAGGCAAAGGAGCCACTAAGAGAAATGGGGAAATGTGTCTGACCAAACACCAGTGAAAAGCTGGATACGGGATGTAAGTGGACACCTAGATGTAGGCAAGCCAGTGGAAAACCATCTGGCAAGACTGACCAAAAGCTAAGAGTCTGTCGACTTTGGTACAAGAGATGGAAGAGGTGTGAGGGAAGTGAGCTGGTGAGAGGAATTCCTCAGTATGCAGGGAATTCACACCAGATGAAAGGAAGAGAGCAGAAAGGTGTCCATCTGAAGGGTAATGGAGAAATCACGCTGCTGGCTGTCTCAGTGAAGTCAAAGGGGGTTACCGGGAGTGTGAGGGCGAGTTAACTGGGAGAACTAGCAACTGTGCTCAGAGTAGGATATTGATGTATTCAAAGGGAAAACCATTGTGGGAATTGGCTTGACAGCAGATGTAGCAGTAAACTGGGTGCAATTAACACAAATATTGACAGAGCTGACAAAATCAAGGAAGAGTGGGATAGGATCCTATCAATAAAAGTATTGAAATAACTAAAGGCTGGGACTCAAAAGGGGAACTGTGTGTGTATATTTATATACACATATATGCAGTTACATACACACACACGCAGTTAAAACTGTTGGTGAACAAAAAGTGCATAGGAGGTAGCATAAGCAGCTACTATGGATATGAAGAGAAAAGCATTGTGCTTAATATTCCCTTAACAAGAAATGCTGTGACACAAACAAGTGGGTCTTATGTGGTCCCATGTGATTGTAAACCGAGCTGAGCCACAGGAATCCTTATTGCTGTAAAGGGATAGCCAGACATGCATCACCCCATTAAGCTTCACAAACAGCTCCGGAACTATTGGATAGGGAAGTTTGTTCTACTTTTCATTGTAGAAGCACTCACCTAAAAGTGCTATCATAAAAATGGCCCAGAACCAATAATGAAGAAAGCTGGGCTCTGATGCATACCCTGGGCCTGACTACGAGAGAATGGGAGGTGTCACCTGCCCACTGCCACCATGGAGGTCATTTTTCCTATCTGTGTTCATAAATTCATCTAGTAATGGATGTGATTCACAAATCACAGTAAGAACCAAGACGTACTTGAAACTGCAATTGATCCTGATCTCCAAATTCTCCCTTTTCAAAGATCCTAATACCTCCGCCAAGTGTATGTGTTACAATGAAATCACACGTGTTTCACTGTAGGGATTGGCATTGCACTGCAGTGGATTAAGCCATCACTGGTAGTGTCAGAGTCCCACATCAGAGTGCTGATTCAGGTCCTGGCTGCTCTGCTTCGGATTTAGCTTCCTGCTAATGTGCCTGAGAAGGTGCCAGAAGGAATGGGCCACTGCCACTCATGTGAGGGATCAAGATGGAGTTCTTGGCTCCTGATTTTGGTCTGGCCCCAGCCCTCTCCCCTCTCTCCCTTCTCTCTTCCCCCTCTCCCCCCGCCCCTGTTCTTTGTATGCCATTAAATGGCATACAAATAAAAATGTTGTCTTCACAGCTCTGGTCCAATGCATCATAAAGCTTCACTCCTAGATCTACACAGAAACATTGGCCACATCTCAAAGCATTTCAGGTGCATGATGGACGTTAATGGAAAGGAACAATTATTAATTTTAATATTTCTTCCCATGACTTTGCTATATTGCATTTAGACTGAACCATGATAATAAATACTGAGCAATTAAGAATAGCCTCCTAGGGCCAGCGTTGTGGTGCAGCAGGTTAAGCTACCACCAGCAATGCATGCATATAATATGAGCACCAGTTTGAGTCCCAGCTGCTCCATTTCCAATCCAGCTCCCTGCTAATGCACCAGGGAAAGTAGCAGAAGATGGCCCAAGACCTTGGGATCTACCATTCATGTGAGAGACCTGGATGGAATTTTTGGTCCAGGTTTTATGATGGCTCAGACCTGATTGTTGGTGACCATCTGGGGAGAGAACCAGAAGACAGAAGACCTCTCCCCCTTTCTCTGTCCTTTTCTGTCACACTACCATTAAAAAAAAAAGGTTTATTTGAAAAGATATTTATTTTAAAGGCAGAGATACAGAGACAGAGGAGGGGGGAGAGAGAGCGAGCGAATGCCTCCATCTGCTTTCTCAGTCCCCCAAAATACACCAATGGCCAGGCCGAAGCCAAGAGCCAGGAGCTCCTTCAAGTTCTCCCATGTGAGTGGAGGGGCCCAAGCACTCAAGCCATCTTCCACTGCTTTACAAGGTGAACTAGCAGGGAGCTGGATTGGAAGTGGAGCAACCAGGACTCTAGCCAGTACCCATATGGGATGCTGGCACTGCAGACGGTGGCACAACCCACCATACCACAGCGCTGGTCCCCAAATAAATCTTTTAAAAAATAGTTTCATATTCAAACTAGTCAACCAAGAATTACAAAACATCTTTTCCAGGGTTGGACTTGAGCTTCCCGTCAGCTGGAATTGACAAAAACCCCAAGTACATTTGCCTTTTGGCCTCTGCCCTTTGCAAATAAATGCTTGACCTGCCCAGCTGTCCCATGGGAGCTGTCTAGCAAGAGCAGCATGGCCGCCAGCCACAGCTTCGCCTTTGTGGTCTGCGTTTTAGAAATCGGTGCCCTGACGGCAGGACCCACTCCCAGGTGAGTCCATCGCTTTTCTCTTTGTTCCTGGAACTTCACTGTGGCATTCAGTCTTTTGAGGTCTACTTCTTAACAGCCCCATAGATAAAATTGTTAATCCAGAGTGATACACTGAACCCCAGCACTGAACTTTGAAAAGAGGTTAAAAAAATACATAGGATACATTCTTGCAGATTGTCTGTGGAAACCTCTAGCTGTTTATGAGGATTCGTTTGAACCAAGGTATTCAAATGGTAGGGCTGAGATAGCCATCAAGTATGAGGCGTTATGAAATAAAGCTGTTTTTCAACAGTGTATGTTAAGCCTGGCTTTGCCAATGTCTATGTCTGAGAAGTTTAAAACTAAGGAAATTAATGTTTCTCACACTCGGTGTCTAGCTTGATACCTCGCTCTCTTCTCTCTGTACAAGGCAAAGGTTAAGCCGTTTGTTTTTCTTCCTTGTAAGCCAGAGGCACACACTCTGTCCGGAGCTATAGGGTCAGATCGCTTCCAATCAAGAAGAACAGCCATGGCCAGGCCTATCAGCCATGCTGCCAGCAAACATAATTTGTCTTCTTTGTCTCCAATCCTAATCGGGATCACTAAGCCCATGCCAACCCCACTCAAGACATAAAGCAACCGGACAAAAAGTGCTCGCTGAGCTTCTACGCAGTATCTGGAAGTGCTGCGGGGTAGGATCACATGAAGTATCTGCCCTTCCATCCAGGCATCTCATTTACCTGCACGAGCCAGTAGAGAGATCTGACCTGGGGATGGGACTGAAATGGTCCTGACTTCCACAGTGCCGCTGGGGGGAAAGGCTTACCTCAACACTGGCCCTGTGCTAGGCACAGCCGTCACCTGCATCCAATTCCCTGATGGCCATCTGACTCTTGACTTCCCAGAATCCTGTTTTGGACTCAGAGGGCCATCTCCAGCCTTTCTTTACCTGTTTTTCAGCGTCAACAAAGTCCAGCATTTGTGGGGTGTTTACAGAACTGCGTTTTCCGGGAAGGGTGCAGGGAGGTGCAAGATACCACCAGAACAAGCCCTGGTCAAACTGCTCAGCCAGATTTTCCTTCATCCCTTTGCTTTCTCATCCCACACGATCTAAGAAGCACTGTGCAGTGAGAAAATGTTTCATTTATCGGGCATCCAGATACCCAGCAGATTTGGAAAGGCAGTTCCCGAAAGCCGCCTTAACCCTCTTGTACTTAACCTGACCCTTTCTTACATGGCAAAAAAAAAATCTATTTAAACACTCCACATTCCTGGGTTGTGATTCCTGCTGATGAAAAATGAGAAGCTGTGGAGAGGGCTTCATCTGCTTTGAAGTCCGTGACCTCCTGGGTGCTGTGTGCATTCGGCTGTTCCAGGGAGGACCAGGAAGCCCGTTGGCTGGGCCCCAGCTCCGTGCAGCTGGACTGCTTAGCTGGCTTGGCCTTGTGCACCCTCCCGCACTGTGCCCTCACCAGCGTGTCAAGGCTGCTGCACTCCAAACACTCCGTGCTCTGCCCTTGGACAGATGGTTGAGGTCAAAACAGCAGTGCAGAGACTTCAGTTAGGAAGTGAGACAAATGATTTGCTTGAGTAAGAGCTAAAGAACTGGCACTTACATAAGATTTCCAAAAATATAAATGGGCTTGGAATGGAGCATTCTTTTGGAGCTGGACTTCCCAAGCTCAGGGCACGGTTCCACTAGTCACTAATTGCACACATGTGGACAAACGACTCAGCCTCTCTCAAACCTTGTGTCCTCATCTATAAGATGCTGGTTGTGTTTGTTTTCCTGGGGCTGGCTTTCAAAAGAATCACAAACTAGCTGACTTCAAACCACAGAAATAGGCAGTCGCACCGTTTCAGAGGCCGGGAGTCTGAAATCAAGTTGCTGGCAAACCACACTCCCCCTGGAGCTCCAGGTAGGATCCTTCCTGGTCTCTGGAGGTAGCTAGAAGTCCATGGCATCTCTGGGCATGCAGGTGCATCTTGCCAGTGAGGGAGAGGGAGAGAGGGAGATCTTTTATCTGCTGGTTCATCCTCCCAATGCCTGCAACAGCCAGAGCTGGGCCAGGCTGAAGCTAGAAGCCAGGAACTCCATTCTGGTCTCCCACATGGTTGGCATGCACCCATCTTCCACTGCCTTTCCAGACACATTAGCAGGGAACTGGATTGGAAGCAGAGCAGCTGGGACGCGCTCACATGGGATGCTGGCATCGCAGGTTGTGGCTTAACCCACTGAGCCACAACGCCAGCCCCAAATAAGGTCACCTTCCAGACAGTCCCCCACACTCACAGGCTCCACGTCCATAGATTCAACCAACTGCAGATCAAGACTATTTGGAGGAAACAGTTGCACCTGTGCTGAACATGTGCTGACTTTTTCCTTGCCCTTGTTCCCTAACCAATATACAGTGTACCGACTAATTGTATCACATTTACACTACATTAGGTCTTGTAAGTAGTCTAGAGGTACCCTACAGTGTACAAGAGGATCCATAGGATATATCAGAATCCTATGCCATTTTTGGATGAAGGACTTGAAAACCAGGAGATTCTGGTATCCATGATAAGATACAGGAACTAATCCCCAGTGGGCACGGAGGGATGGCTGCACTTAGGACATCTGTGCCTGGCACATAAGATCTCGATAAATGCTTAGTGTTGCTTTTTTTTTTTTTTTTTTTAAGAAGAATGACCTTGCTGTAGCTTTCACTCTGATACATTTCCATGTTTAGGAGGTGAAGGGCTGGAGGTGCAGGCAGCCTCGAGGGTATCACATGGCTGCGATGCCTCATCTTATGCCACAGCCACAGCAAGCTATTGCCACAGGTGGACTCTCAGGCATTTCTACCATTTTTTCCTGGACAAAAATGATTGTGCCCATGAGATAGATCCTGAAGGGGACATCATCTCTTAGGTTTCTCAAGGGAGAAAAAAAGTGTTGAAAGCCACTATGAGAATAGAATAATAGCTCAAAGCATAGCTTCTGGGGTCAGGTGGCCTGCGTGTGATTCCAGATTCCACAGCTTTATGACTATGTGCCCCAGGCAAAACCCTTACCCTCTCTAACCTGTTCTTACCTACAAAATGGGAATCGCAGCATGGCTTGCTATGAGGAATGTCTGGGATAGTAATTGCCATTTCCTTAGCACGGTGGCAGGCAGGCCTTATGTGTTTTGTAAATGCAGCTTCCTGTTATCTTTTTAATTTGTACATAAGAAAATTTTCACATGTTTCCGAGATCCAAACATCCAGCAAGATGCACGCTGAGAAGACTGGCTTTCCTCACTCGGGAGCTGCGCTGAGATCTGTGTTACTGTTTGGGAGTTCTTTGGGACGCTGCCCTCTCCCTCCTTGGTCTACCCTGTAGATGAACACATGCACTCGTTTCTTATGTATCCTTGCCATGTTTCTTATGTAGACGAAAGCACAGAGTCGTATATACCCTCGTTCTCTCCCTTTCTTCCATGAAAGACATCGTATTGCACATCCTGCCTTGTACTCAGTTGTCCTCGTCCTCCTTTATAATGCATCCTGGAGACTTTCACTGTGAGAGCACATCCTCACTCTCCTCACAGCCCGTTGGTTTTCATTTAACTTAAAATTTCCCTGCAAGAGGGATCTTATTGATACCTCTAGTTGATTCCCTCTCAAAAGACCAAATAAAGTGAACAGTAACCTTAAGGTTTCATTGTCTTCATAGAACTGGATCGGATTGCCTCACTCTTTCTCTTCTGATCTCCCAAAATGTTTACATCTCTTAATAGCCAACACCCTCTTGGATCTGCACTTGAACGCCACGCACTCGAGCCTCCGCACAATCATCTTGGTAGCGTTAGCCTTTTTCCGGAAAACCCACTTAGGCTGTCCGCTGCGGCCACTCTGCTTCCTACTTGTAATACTGCTTTCCCTAGGCACAGAGCGTCTTGGCCCTTCCTTTACTGAGTCACTCGGTGGGATTCTGCTCACCACACTTCTCACAGAAGCTCTGGCAGGTTTTGGGGACATTAACCATATTTGCCAGAGTGCAATCGGCTTGGAAAGAGCCCACTAATTTTCATTGTGTGGCTAAACGGTCGTGGTATCCCATCTCTTATTGATGAGCATCCAGGTCATCTCTGAACTTTTCTACTAGAAACAATGAGGCAATGACTATTCGTGTGGACAGGCCATTTAGCAAGCGGGCAGGTGTCCCTGAGGACTCCTTCCCAGAAGTGATGTAACTGGAGCCAAAGGTAAGCTTTGCTGACACTGCCCTGTGGTCCCAGGGTTTGTGTTTTGCACTTGAACCAGCAGGGCGGGAGTACCGGTGCTGCCCCACTATCTTGTGAGCAGGAGTCATAAGCCAAATCTTTATTTGTCAGTCTCATAGGTGAAAAAAATCATAGCTTGGCATGATTTTAGTTTGTCTTATTGAGTCAGGATGCACACTTTGATATTTATAAACCATATTTATGGGATAGGATTTTTGTGTGTGTATGAATTGTACATTTCTCTTGCCCAATTTTTTACTGAATCTCTTTATCTTATGGTTTTTATGATTACTTTATAAATTAGTCTTTTGTCTCTGATATTAATTACCAATATTTTTCCCAATTTGTCACTTACTCTTTTTTTTGCACCGTGCTTTAATAGGGTCATCATTTTCATACATTATTTCTTTTCTATTTTTCAAATAGCTGACAAAAAGTATTAGACTGTGAGTTAGAAGGCCTGGGAATGGCTGGGGGCACTGAAGAGAAACTGCCTGGGTTTGAATCCCAACTCTGCCACTAAGTAGCTGCGATAACCTGAGGAACCAGTTACCACTGCTGTGTCTCTGTTTCCCGTCTTCAAAGTATAATAGCAATTGCAGTAGCTAGTTCATAGGACTAAATGAAATAGCGAATGGGAAGGTTTAAGGGAACAGTACCTGGAACAGATGAAACACTTACAAATGTCAACAACTATTACCCCATTTATTTTAGTCAAGGCTGTCTCAACAATCTGGAAAAAGTACGGAAGCAGTCACTCATAGTCGG